GTTGTAGTTTAATGCAGTTTCACTCACATTTTTCCTTTAATCGCGATTATAGTTTTCTTTTTCCTTTTTCCTAACTTTAGAATTTTTGTCTATCGCGTACACATAAATTTAAAATCAGAAAATGGTGTTCTTTTGATAAATAGTTTGTATGATGGATTATTCAATTTTGTTGAGACAACATTTTCAAATTTATTCTTGACAAGACAATTCAATAGATCAGCTCCTTGGTTACTTCGCATTATATATACAGGTTGTCCCACGAAACATGACAGTTGAAAGACAACTGAAAAGTCGTCTTTTATCTTTGAAAGAATTTGCGGCTAACGTTAGTTAGTCTTAGTTTTATAGTAAAATTCTTGAACAAACAATTACAAAATACCTTTGGTCCTGACATTTCCAAAATGTGGTCTGTCTTTTTGCACAATGATAATTACCAAAGATATGAAGAATTTCGTATAAATTGCGACAATTTTGGATTTATTTATAAAATTGAAATCTAAACGAAATTCTAAATATCTTCGGTAACAATAAAATGAAAACGGTAGATCACATGATGGAAATGCCCAGACTGATGGAATTTTGTGACTGTTGTTGTGAAAGTTGTTTGAGAAATAAATGCCGCAAATTATTATAAATATCTATCAACCAAGAATGTAATGCAAGGAAAGTTAATTGCAGTTGCGTATACTCTGCGTACATATTGAAACCAGTTCTCTCTGGGTGGAATTTGTAAAGAATAGATGCCTCAGTGTTCGTTTAGTATCCGAGGAGGTTAAAAGCATTGAATTTTAATAATTCACATAATAGTTTCCTATGACCAGAATATTTCATTGATAATTATTTATGTGAAAGATGGATCCCATGTTAGGCTTCGACATCCGTCTTGTGTTTACATTACCGCCCAGTGACAGTTCACTGCAGTACAAAAGATGCGTACACCTCTGAAATAACTTTCCTTACATTAAATCCTTGCTCTCAACTGTCTTGTTTCGTGGGACACCATTTCTGAGCTGGGCATTTTTGAAATTGGTATATTTTATTCTTAATCAGGGGTTTAATGGTTTAAAAGGGTGGCATGTCTCCTTTTCCATTATTCAAGAAGAACTAATCACTTGCCTCTAACTCTAGTTCGAGTATCTTTGCAACTGATATGTTTTTCATTTTTGAAAATTCTGGTAGATCTTATACACAGTACACTCAAAGTTTTAAAATTATAGGTTTATCCTTTCAGGTTGAAAATATATAAGGAATACAGATTTAGAATTTAGAGTTTGAGGCAAGTGCTCGAAAATCCAGTTTAGATAATTGAATATATTTTCATCTAGAAGACGCGGGATTTTCAGTAGTTTTTGGAAGATTGAAATAAATATAAAAAATATAAATATATTCTTACTTTTTTATCCTTTACACTTCAATAATCTTCAAATAAAGGGGTCAAGTGCCCCCCCCCCCATCTCTTAAACATATTCTCCGTAGCTCTCATCCTTTCATACCCTCTTGTTCAATGTTAATCCCGGAGTTTGAACCTCAACTCTCGGATCCAAACATCAGTCTCCGGAGATACTCGGAGATATTTACTCATCCTCGTCCCGGCCTGTCCTCCTCTATAGTTCGGGGGGGAGGGGGGCTTCATATAGTCACACAGATATACACAGTTATGAATATTATGCATCAAATATTAAGAATATTATTTGAAGTGTTAAAAGAGTGTTTTGAAAGAAAATTTGCAAAAATTCTGATATATATAAATGAGGAACCCCTGGACTGATTTGCCTCAAATTTTGATTGGGGAAATCGGGAGAAGTTTGGTTTTTGAATTCTAACTTGAGTGGGTCGACTTTTATAAGGAAAAATAGCTAAAACCGTAATTAACGACAAACCGCGAGTAAACGGCTGAAATAACTAAGAATACCATGGGCAACGCTGGGTTCCAAAGCTAGTATAATATATTTCATTAGACAGTGAAATGTGGTTGTTAATAATCTTCTAATAATTTGACATGCGTGGAGAGAAAATTATTTTAACCCCTCCCATCCATTTTCCTTTTCATGAATTTTTAATTTTTGGAAAAATAACACAAAATATTCAGTAATGCACCTACTTATGCTCTAAGAAAAACAATATTGTTACTTTTTAAAAACAAAGTTTTTAAGGATCAAACTATTTTCGGTTATATATATTGGTTGAACCACAAAGCTAGGACTTCTTATATAAGAAATATATCTCGCGTGGTTTTAAAAAGAGACTTTTAATAAAATGCTTTCAAATTCTTGTTCATTGAAATTACATTAAACGCATTTCTCTAATAATTTCATATTCTTTACATTAAAGTTAATGAAATCTCACTTTAGCCTGGGTTCCCAAGACCTACATGGCTTTCAAAACATCAAGAGCATTGTGATGGATGTTTATAAGGCCAAATTGGTTAAGCAAATTCGTGTTTAAGTAAAAATCTAAATTTTCCGAAAAAGTAGTTGAGTACAATTTTATCGTCTTTTGAAATTTGAAAAGTCGGTTAAAAAGTCAAATATTCTAAGGATAAGAAGAAAAAGAAGTTTTTAGATAAACAAATATGTAATTATTTATCCTAGCGTAATTACTCGATATCGAGGATGAGGAAATTAAAGGAAATTTCAAGAATTTTGAGAGATAGAATCAATTTTCAACATGTACGTTTTATTATTTTACTGTACTGTACAATTGTACAATCTAAATTATTTATTCAGATCCGTAGATAAATTCATGTACATCTAGAATTATCCAATGTACAATATATCCGTACATAAATGCATGTATATCGAAACTTTGAACTCTACAATTTGCAAGTACAACTGTGTGCCTATGTGTACATTAAATCGAACATTCGCACATCTGTAGTCTGTACCGCACAGTTTACTTACATTATGGGATAGAAAATTAGGACATCCCTGGAATTTATTTCTTCCTTATATTGCCAATAAACATCAACACAAGACATCTTAAATAAAACTAGAGGTTGGAACTTTAGTGTGGATATTGTTAATCTTGAACGCTTCATCTCGATATCCTACGTGGGGACTTTTGAATTTTAAGATCCATGCTTGGTTCTTTAGTTAAGGGAATCCTTGAAGGGTAGATACCTACTTTTTCATTTGCGACCTTGAGGGACAATTGGCAAAGTTTTAAAACCCTCTTGTAGGTTCAGATATTTTTGCGCACGCACAATTTTTGCGCGGCCATTTTCGAAAAAAAATTTTATCAATAAAATAACAAGTAAGACACAAAAAAAATTCTTCAAAATATGTCAATATAGGGTATTTAAATATCTGTCTTAAAACACTGAAGTCAGAAAACTTTTTTTCGAATGGATTTGTTTATTTTTATCCAATAAAAGACAAAAAAGGGGTATTTATATTTGGAAGTGTCCCTTAAAAATTCGTTTTTGGCCATAAATCAAACCATTTATTATATATTAAAATTAAAATGTGGAAGGTATTCAGCGACTTGAGATGCAACTATCGAAAATAATTTTTTTCCTTTTTTGTGAAAATGGCCGCGCGCTCGCCTTTTTTTAGTATTTAGGCGCAGGTATATCACTAGACCTTCTAGCTTGGTTCCAAAATTGACTAACCCTATTGAAGGGTATGACGTAAAAATTGCGTAGTAACAAAAAATACAAAAAAAATTCAGTCTTAAAATATTGGAAAACTTTAAACAAAAGTATTAAAATAAAAGTCTCATTTTAAATGTAATCTTTCTAAGACACACTTTGTATTACATTGATATGTTTTTATCTAATTTATGTATTCTAAATTTCTATTTAGAAACAATATCTAGCTGTTTAATTAAATTCTACGATAAAACGAGCAGCGTGTCTGTTGTTTTGGTATTTTTAATAATAGAATTTTGAAGTAAAGAAACATTATAGTTTTTATACTTTTCTGATCTCTAACAGTTCTCCTTAAATCTATTTAATTGAAATGTGTTATGATTATTGAAATTAGGTGGGAAAAATAATCAGAACAGCCAATAGCTATTTTCCACCTAATTGCTTTATGCTTGTACTGTTAATATGATCATCAATTTGTAATTGTAAACTCGTTCTGTACACAGATACATATGAATTTTAGCAATAAACGTTATCTATCTATCTATCTATAAACACTAAACAGCATTATTTTGAAAAAAAAAGACTTTTTAACATGTCATCAAAAGTCTAAAAGAAACATAACGAAGTGTATAAGGCGAAAACGCTATTTTTAAATTGATTATTTTTATTTTGGCTTGCCTTGAAAAGTTAAATACGGATTTTCCTTTGATAAAGGCTTAAATCAGGCACGGAGATATTTAAAAGCGGGAGGGGGGGGGGAGGAAGTACGTGGACAGTTTATCTTGAATAAAAATACACCAGATTGATTCATAACAAGTAAAATGTTACATGTACCTTCAACTACAAATAGTATATAAAAGAAGGAGGATGAGGATGAGGGGGGGGGGTGTAAATACCTTGAATGGTGTGAGTGTATGTTATACATGTACCTTCAACTAAAATAGTATAAAAAGAAGGAGGATGAGGATGGGGGGGAGGGATGTAAATACCTTGAATGGTGGGAGTGTATGTTCTACATGTAAAATATTCTTTAAATATTCCGCAGCTCCGTCGAATCTATCAAATAAAAATTCCAAAGCTTCAAAAAGTGCCAACCTTATATCTGCGTGAAATGTTTAGTTTTAAATAATTTTACTATTTATTTTAGTCTGAAATATTTTACATTTTTATTTCAAAAATGAAATTTGTAAAACTAGGCTTCCAGGCGTGTCTCGCACCTGTTTTTTGTAATAATATATAGATCTTCATGGACGCCGGAACAAAAAAATTTAAATATTTATTTTGTTAACTTAAAATATTATTTAACCTTGAACGGCCATAATACAAATATTCAAGGCAGGTTGGTAGCCCACACTTTAATATTTAAGCTAAAATTAATAATATATATTTTCAATAATTATTATTTAGTTTAGATGAAAAAATAGAAGATGGCTTTGGATGTTTTCTCTTCGGTTCGGAGTTTGTTTAAACCTGAGGACTTCACTATAGATAATATTGTTTTCAAGGTATTATTATATTTACTTAAAATTTTATTAACAGAATTTATATAATGTCGTCTTTACGGTTATTTAGTGATTAATGGCGCTAAACTTTAATAAACAAAAGGGTTACAGAAGTTGTCTTGTATTTCTCCAAGCTGTCAAAGATTTCTGCTTGCAGCTTCACAGGAATATATGTACTATTTGAGAGTGTTAAGAGTTTACGTGTTTTTTTCGGAATAAAGACAACTTCTTTTTTTGTAAAGATAAAATAATAGCCGTGAACTATGCAGAACAGGTTTATAAAATAGAACGCCAATTTGTTTTGGATTGCTAAAAAAGAGAAAAACCGCGGCATTTGATTATAAAAAGGCTTAGAAAACAACATTTTACGAATTCTGTCACTGTTTTCTTTAATTTTTTTTCCTGTGTACTTTTATGTGTAACAATATTTTCCTGATAAAAACTGAACTCCTGCCACAAACTATAATTTTCTAATTCTTAGATTTTTGCAACCTGATCTTTTAGGTTTCAATTGCTTTTATTTAAGTTTACATCATCAGGTTTCAAAGAAATATGGATTAAAAAATTTGAGTTATTGACAATTGTTATTTTCAAATTTATTATTATTTTGTATTTTTATCAAAACATTGTAAACTTGGGTTATTGTAATTAGAAAATTGGAATTTTTTTAAACAACCCAAGCTTTTAATGTAAATTTATATCTTTATACTTTTATAGGAATTAAAAAATTGCCACACTCTAACTTTCTAATCCTTATATCTTTCCAACCTGATTTTGAGATGTTTAAAACTAAAAATTTTGCTTAAACCCTTAAACAGGCTTGGGGGGGGGGCGTTTTTTTTTGGTCCTAGCACTCTCATTCTTGAAACTTTCACTGTGAAATTTTATGACTGTGAATAAATAGAAATTTAAAGGATTCTTTGTATTTTTTTTAATGCATAGGGTAGGGTACTGGGTGGTAAAAAGTCCGGTCTGCGTAAAAAAAATTTAAAATAGCCCATTTCAATTTTTTTGAGTTAAGCTACAGATCTAAAAAAAATATTTTTTAATTCCCTTGAAAAACTGATGAAGAAACATGTGTCACAATTTGATGTGATTGAAAAAAAAAAAAAAATTTTAAAAAAAAAATTTTCTTCATTTTTTGGCATTTTTTTCAACCCTTGTTAGCACCCAAACTATTAAAATAATGGCTCTAATTTTTTTCAATAAGCTGACCTTGATAAATTGGGCTATAAACATGCATTTTAACCCAATACCTATGCTCTAGGGCCTTTAAAGGGTTATTCAAAGACAAAAGCTTACATTGTCAGGTTGCAAAGAAATTTGAATTAAAAATTTGAGTTTTTGACAATGGATCTTTTATATTTCAAATTTTTTTTGTATTTTTATCAAAACACTTCAAAAAGGGGTTTTTGGAATAAGAAAATTAAATTATGTTAAAAAACCCCAGACCATAAGGGTATTTAAATATCNCTTCAAGGACCTTCTAATCAAGTAGAAAAAACAGAGGTTAGCGAAGTCAGAATAGAGAATATTGAAAAGTGTTCCTTAGCTTCACCTCCTCAGAGTAGAAAGCCCTATGTGATTCAAAATGCAGACAAAATAGTAATTATCGAACATTTTCATGGGAACAACTTTACAATGTAATTATGTAAACCCGAAAAGAATGATGTAATATAATATATTTGATGACAGCTCAGTAAAGCTGTATGTACATGTTTTGATCTTTCCTAGATCAAATATTAAACTAGGTGTAGTTTACTATTTTATTCAAAATTGATTGAGAGAGCGATAAATGTAAAAATAAAATTAAATTAGAGAACTATTTATTTGATAAATCTGTATGGATCACAGGGAGGATAATTACTTATCCTCCCTGTAAAGAGGGAGGATAAGTAATTATCCTCCCTGTAAATAGGGAGGATAAGTAATTATCCTCCCTGGAATTAAAAAAGGAGGGAATTTAAGGTTGGTTATTTCGTTGAACAGGAGATTAAGTTTTTTATTGTTTCTTATAAGCAAGAAATACGCAAGTTAATTTTTCAGTAAAACCACAAATCAATATAAACAGTTCAAACAAACAAAAACATGAATATCTAATCTATACTTCTATAAAGCAAACAAAGCTTTTTTATGGGTATAACCGTTGTGAATCTGAAATTGACAACTTTGCATGGTGGGTCACTTGAAATTACGCTTACAGTCCCTTGAACTATGAATCTACATTTCTTATAAAATATTTTACTAGACAAAACAGTGCCCTGGATGATTTCTTAAAATTTCTTATTTCAATATATTGATATTCAATGTTGCAGAAAACATCTGCATTGACTGATTAATCACCGTTTAACTTTTTTTTACATAAATTGCAGGGTGTTTCATTAAAAATGATAAATTGAAGAGTGTTTCATTAAACATGATAAATTGCAGGGTGTTTCATTAAACATGATAAATTGCAGGGTGTTTCATTAAACATGATAAATTGCAGGGTGTTTCACTAAACATGATAAATTGCAGGGTGTTTCATTAAACATGATAAATTGAAGAGTGTTTCATTAAACATGATAAATTGCAGGGTGTTTCATTAAACATGATAAATTGCAGGGTGTTTCATTAAACATGATAAATTGCAGGGTGTTTCACTAAACATGATAAATTGCAGGGTGTTTCATTAAACATGATAAATTGCAGGGTGTTTCACTAAACACGATAAATTACAGGGAGATTCATTAAACATTTCAAAGACCAAGTTTATATCTCGATTGTCGTCTCTTAAATTATCATGATTTGTCGAACCCCAGCTGTACGAAAAATGAAAAAGCTCAATTGCAATATAGAATTTATGGATAGAATTATTAAAATAATAATGTTTTCGACATTTTAAATTTAAATTTAAATTTATTTACAACTGGGTCGAGGACTAAATGGTTAAACAATTAAAAAACACCTATTAATGTAAAAAGTCTTTTGTGTTTTCATCAAAAAAAAAAAATATTGCAAAAATTTCAGTTGATGTAATTATTGTTATTATTGCAGTTACACTACAGAGTATCAGTTATATTATTTCTTGGATCCTCATTGGTCGGGGTAGCTAAACAGTATTTTGGAGATCCAATTAATTGTCAGGTAGTGTTTTGGAGATCCAATCAATTGTCAGGTAGTATTTTGGAGATCCAATCAATTATCAGGTAGTATTTTGGAGATCCAATCAATTATCAGGTAGTATTTTGGAGATCCAATCAATTGTCAAGTAGTATTTTGGAGATCCAATCAATTGTCAGGTAGTATTTTGGAGATCCAATCAATTATCAGGTAGTATTTTGGAGATCCAATTAATTGTGATAATAATATAACACAGGAATTGTGCACGTACGTGTAATTAGACCAATTTTACATAATATGTGATTTAATGACTTACTGCAAGATATTTATTTTGTAACCACATCAAATACACTTCAGTATTGCCTTAATGTCGTCTTCCTATTCTACAGTTTTCTGGTTATCACTGAAGTATTTTGAAAATCCAATTAGTTTTTAGGTATAGTTTTGAAAATTCAACAAATTATTTGGAGAGAAAACCTCAGTTGAAAATAATCAGTTTTTAAAATTAGAAACATTGATATCTACTAATTCATAAATGAACATTCAAAGCTTTTACGGGTACTGTTGTAAATCGGGCATTGCCATCTTTGCATGGAGTTTCACCTGAAATTACACTTACAGTCCCATTAATATGCAATCATACGGTTTCCAAAGTATTTTATAGTTTGCTTGTTTCTTGAATAAAAACTACTGAATATACTAATCCTTTTCTGTAATCAGTAGAAAACTTGTCAAGGACATTAAAACTTTTTAATCCTAACATTTTTATCTCCACTTTTATCTGTATGAAATGAATAGATGAATAAATGAGCAACGATTAGACAAGTTTTGTTAATTGGTTTGATAATTGTACCAATCTAAATTCTAAAGAGAATACCTGAACTTTAAAAAGATATTCTATTTCAAAATGACATTAGTTACTTTTTTTAATAAAGTTAATCCTTCACTTATAATTTCCATTTTTTCTGTATGAATAGATGGATAGATGGAGAAATGAGCAACGATTAGACAAGCTTTTTCAAAAGTTTGTTTGAAAAATCGTTCGTTTAATAAAAAAGATTATTACTAAATATCAACAATATACGAAGGTGTCCAAAAAAATCGACTATTATTGGCTGAAATATCTGAATGATTTGTTTGAAATTAAATTGATTTTTTACAATCCGACTTGAATGTTGCAACTTTCTGAATTGGCATGGACGCTACTTTCTTCGGTATGAGTCGTTTTTAACAATTTTCTCCTTATAGACGCAGCAGATGGATGTAAGATTAGTAGCAATTACCATCGAATATTTTTCGACGTAAGCCTATACTCGCTTTCATTTTAAACGAACACTCCCTTCGAACCCATCTTTATCTGTAGATATTTTTTACAAAAAATGTCATGGCTCTCGGTTTCAGTTGCCATAATACAGTTGACAAATTTACTTTGCCATATTTACATTTGCCATAATGCACTTGCTACGATTAATTTTGCCATAATTACACATACCATTATTACTTTTGACGTAAATTTTACTTTCAATAAGTTATGAATCGAATTTTTTAGACGGCGTCTGGGGTTAGTTCGAAAGTTTTAGATGATTACTGCTGGATACACAGTACATTTCATCTAAGAAATGAATATCAGGTGACCAAAGTTTTTGCAAATTTTCTTTAAATGTCGTCTTCATAATATATTTAATTAAAAATGGTGCCATTATATTATTTTCTCTCTTCAGGGGAATGTTGGGTGTATAGTGGACTCAGAACTCCTGCCTGAAAGAACAAATTATATTCCATCTTACTATGAAGAGAACAGGTTTGAACTTTCTATTAAATCATTTTCAATTATTTAATATTTTTTAATGTCACTTCATGATACATATTTAGATCTGCACAAAGCATGGTTAGAACTCCATCTATCCTTCTCTCTCAATCCACTCCGGATACATCCTTCTATCAGTGGGTTCCATTTACTCTTCTACTCCAGGTATACTGTAGGATACTATCCTTCAATCAGTGGGTTCCATTTAATCTTCTACTCCAGGTATACTGTAGGATACTATCCTTCAATCAATGGGGTCCATTTAATCTTCTACTCCAGGTATACAGTAGAATACTATCCTTCAATCAGTGGGTTCCATTTACTCTTCTACTCCAGGTATACTGTAGGATACTATCCTTCAATCAGTGGGTTCCATTTAATCTTCTACTCCAGGTATACTGTAGGATACTATCCTTCAATCAATGGGTTCCATTTACTCTTCTACTCCAGGTATATTGTAGGATACATCCTTCTATCAGTGGGTTCCATTTACTCTTCAACTCCAGGTATACTGTAGGTACTATCCTTCTATCAGTGGGTTCCATTTACTCTTCTACTCCAGGTATAGAGTAGGATACTATCCTTCAATCAGCGGGTTCCATTTAATCTTCTACTCCAGGTATACTGTAGGATACTATCCTTCAATCAATGAGTTCCATTTACTCTTCTACTCCAAGTATACAGTAGGATACTTTCCTTCAATCAGTGGGTTCCATTTAATCTTCTACTCCAGGTATAAAGTAGGATACTATCCTTCAATCAGTGGGTTCCATTTACTCTTCTACTCCAGGTATACAGTAGGATACTATCCTTTTATCAGTGGGTTCCAATTACTCTTCTACTCCAGGTATACTGTAGGATACTATCCTTCTATTAGTGGGTTCCATTTACTCTTCCCCTGGTATACTGTAGGATACTATCCTTCTATCAGTGGGTTCCATTTATTCTCCTACTCCAGGTATACTGTAGTATAATATTTTACTCCAGATATACAAGTATTCTTTTTTAAAAAAATATTTACTGGGAAAAAACAAGTTTTTAGCAGCAGGGATAAAAGGAATTAACAGACAGTATTATAAATTCCTTTCAAACATCCTCGAAGTCTCATCCTTAGTTGGTAACTCTACTCTAACCTTCTCTTAACCACTATAGCATGCCTATATTGTATAATCTAAACTAGGATGAGATTTAAAAACTGTTGTTTATGTATTCACAATGCACATTTATTTATACAGGAATGGTTTCAATATTCTGAAAGCTAGCAAATTCATTTTATTTCTATATACCGATTCTAGCACTTTAAGTAACTATGGGGAAAAGAAATAGATTTCTCTGAATATTATGGAACTTAGATTTGTCCCAATCATTTATCAATACGTTCTTACTGTATAACCCTTAACCAATCAGAAGTAAAACGCAATATATTCAACTAATAAGGAAAAATCAGTATATTAGCCAGTTCTCATAGATTGATACAAAAGCTTAAAGCCGGATCAGAATATTTTTTATCAGTCGAATTATCTAAGGTCAGCTTAGAAATATCGAACTTAACGATAGGTTTACCACTGACAATGCTTTTGTAATGATCCTGTTTTGTTTCAGGCGATATTATTTTATGTTCCGAGGAAAATATGGAAATCTTGTGAAGGAGGTCTCATCGAGTCCTTTGGTAAGTTTCATCTCTCTAAATCAGAGGCTTTAACTTTTGGTTAGGAAAGTACACATTTTCACAACGACCAACGACTTAACTTGAATGTAACCTTTTTAATTAATCAAAAAAAACCTACTAAATATCAAATGATATCTACTAAACATCAACTAAAACCTACTAAAGATCAACCAAAACCTGTTTAAAATAAACCAAATCCTACAAAACATCAAATAAAACCTTCTAAACATGAACCAATACCTACTAAACATCAACCAAAACCTGTTAAACATCTACCAAAACATTAAGTGAAACCTGTATAACATCAACAAAAACCTGCTTAGCATCTACCAAAACCTGCTAAACATCAACTAAAACCTAATAAACATCAAAAACCTTCTAAAAGCACAAATCACAAATGTCGACTAAAAAGATATAATATGTGACTGGTGCATCAAGTTACAGCATGAAATTAAGCGAAAAAAAACTAAAAAAATTGCGAAAAAAAATCTTATTTATAAAGAAATGATATGCTCATGACTGGATCCGAATCAAAATGAAATCTTTTAAACTTTTCTTTTATTAAGTCAAATACCTAAAATTAATGTGTTTTTATGTGAAGCAAAGATATATGGATTAGAAAATTTGTGTTTGTGGTAAAGAATAAAAATGTTGAAGGTCGTGAAGGGAAGAGGCGAGTATTGATGCGAGGTGATGTTGAAGGAGCTCTAGAACATGGTTTCATTCTTAAAGATGATCTTGCAAGGTGATTTTTAAATAACATTTTTTTTTATACAGTGGTCACAATAAAATTGTAGAATACAATGACTTTTGGATCAAAGATGGGATTTTGAATTGTTCAATAAACATTAAACAGAGTAATCCATTTTACTTAATAGATTAGTTTTACAATTTTCTTTATACCAACATTAAATACATGATTGAGAATGCTGTTATGCCCTCTTCCTCTTCCACAGATTTATGGGGAACCCTGTAAAGTATAATTCGGACTATATACAATGTTTTTTTTAATTTATGACCAATATTTGATTTTATGTTCAATGCAAACCTTGATTTTTGAATCTCCAAAAACCAAAAAACATGAAATAAAAGCAATTCAAAATAAAGAATGGATGAAAAAAAACCCAAATCTGAAAACCATAATTGCCAATGTTGGTTGATATCACGTTCCCATCGTTATAAGCATATATATTTGACATATATCTATTATTTTTCCTATTTTTCTCTCTTTTCATATATTTTCTAATAATTCTGTAATATTTAGATTGAATAACTTTAAGTTGATAAATAAACGTCAAGGAGATACAAGAATAATATGATCAAATAGTGATGTACATTGTACTTCTATTTTTATATTAAAGGGGCCGTTCACTTATTTGGGTAATTTCATGGTAAACTAAACAAATTCTGAACGACAAATCGACTTTTTCTCCGGCCACAGTTGTCTTTGAAAGGTAAGACTAATACCAATCAACAGCGAATAGGCTGTTTAGTTTACCCTGAAATAACCCAAATAAGTGAACGGTCCCTTTAAGTAGAAATCTCTGTTTAAATGTTTGTATGTCAGATCATAACTTATGAACCTTATCACGTAAGTTTACTAAGGTTTGATTTAATTCCATTTAAAGCTGGGTTCCTGAATTAATAGTATTTCATTTTTATGTATATTTTTATAGGTTATTTAAAGAGACGAAGGACATGTTCTATATAAAAACCTTCATGAGTTTAACAAAGTTTGTTCATGATTCACAAAAGTAACCCTTAAAGGGACAGACAGGCTTAAACAGAGTATGCAGTGTTGTGGAAAAACTCTTTAGAATTCATTTGAGACATATAAAACGTTTCCGCGATGTATAATTACTGAGTTTGAGTGCATAGTCGACGTTCAAAATCATGGATCATGAAATTCCACAAAATCTGCAGAAAATCTTTGTGATTTGTGAAGATGATAAGATTAATTTTTATTTTTTCAACCTGTTCCTAAACAACTAATTAGTTTACTGTAGAATTTTGTTTACATTTTTTGTTGTCTTTTTTTAATAATTAAAAAAAAAACAATTCTGAAAACGTATCCACCCAAAAGTACGATTTTGAACGCCGACTTTGCGCTCAAACTCAGGATTTACAGATCTTCAAAAAGTTTTATATTTCTCAAATGAATCCTAAAGAATTTGTCCACAACACTGCAAACTCAGTTCAACTACCTTAAATAGTCGGTCTGTCCCTTTAAATGCCGAAACTGCCGTCTTATAAATGTTATAAACGTTTCATCCGCAACAGAAGCAGAAAACTATATGTCACGTGTAAACTGAAACCGCAGTAAAAAAAATCTAAGAGAACATAAATATCTCCTTTATTCTTAATCATCTTCTCAGGATACCGTTGTGAATCGAACATGAAACTGTATAAATTTAGGGGCACATGAGAATACGTCACTTTAATTCAAGTGTTCAAATTGTGTTTTTTTAGGAAATATTCTGCGTATTTTCTGAGTATCCTTCATCATAATAATGGATATTTTATACAGGTCAGTCAGGATGTATAAACATCCTACATCAACATCATCATTTTAAACTTTATTTCACTCCATCAGGACATAAAATAAAGATCATGCTAAAGTTCTGGTACAACACCGTGATCTCGTACAGGGTGTCCAACGAAACATGACAGTTGGTAAATATTGTTTTGAATGTCCATAGAAAAATCTCCTACTCATATATGTTTACTTTACAACCAATTTTACTATAAAATATCTGCCATATCACATTTTTATTATTTTCTTTGATATCAAACTTTCCAATTTAAAGATTAAGAGATTTAAACTATTCACAAACTGTCATGTTTTGTCGGACCTGCAGCTCATTTAGTTTTATTTTACTTGGTTGCATATTATACATTCAAGACATGTTTTTATAAACATTTTGGTCTAACGTGAAATTTACTTGTAATTGACATGATTTTCTATTCTACACTGATTTTATCTATTTGTCCCTATAGCAACCCATCTATTCCTATTCCTGTTCCCATTCCCATTCCAATTTCCATTCCCATTACTATTCCCATTCTTATTCCTATTACTATTCCCCTTCCCATTCCCATTCCCATTACTATTCCTATTCCTATTCCTATTCCTATTCCCATTTCCATTCCTATTCCTCTTACTATTCCTATTTCTATTCCTATTCCTATTCCGATTCCCATTCCTGTTCCTATTTCTATTTCTATTCCTATTCCTATTCCCTGTAACCCTCCACTGGCCAATGCTGAAAACAGTCCTTGAATAAAGGTTTAAGCTGCACCTAATTGTTTGGCTCAGATTGGTCTGGATTCAATATATAATTGAGTAGATGGAGGGGGGGGGGGTATCAATGATTGGTAGTATTTTGGAGATATGATACTTCCATCATTGCTTCCAATAATGATTATTGATAACGTATGTGAAACAAATTGCCTCAGGGTATGGTGGATTAATAAAGAATAGGAATCCGTAAATAGATTATAGTTTACTCATACTTTTTACTTTTTTCAAGTGATTTTTCTTGTATCTTTTCTTAATTTTGTTTTACATAGGGCATTTCACATTTACTTGGGTAATAATCTGAAATATACTAAATATGAAGACAAAACATTGGTTTATTTATTCTAATAATTTTTCTCCTTAGGCTAAAATTTTGAATTTTAACCTGCTTTAACAGTTTTTTATTCACAACATGGAAGGAATTGGAAAGGAACGAGTATATAGAAACTGATAATATGCTAGACAATAAACAGAGATCAAATATTCAATAGGCTTTAGAGTTTTATACAAAACGTTTTATTTTAGAAGAATTATTTATATAAAAATATTAAAAGTCAGAAAAGAACGTCGAGGGGGGGGGGGTTGATGTCGATGAACAAAGTTTTGGATTTCTTGCTACTTTAGGTTTTAAGTATCATGATATGTTCACAGTATTTTATCACAGATCGATTATTCTGAGCATGAAGCTTTAATCAAATAGTGTTTAGCTAGATTTTGTTCATGTTTGATTGATTTATTAGTTGAGCACTTAATTGTATAGTATTTGATCTGTGATTTAATGGGTTTAGTATTTGAACTGTGATCGATTATTTTTAGTATCTGATATGTGTTCGATTATGCTTAATGTTTGATCTTCTATCGAATAGGATTTGATCTGTGAGAAATTGATCGATTACGTTTAAATTTTATCTCTGAGACATTGATCGATTATGTTTAGTACTTGATCTGCGATTGATTATGTTAAGTATTTGTTCTGTGATTTATTATGTTTAGTATTCGATCTATGATTGATTATGTTAAGTATTTGTTCTGTGATTTATTATGTTTAATATTCGATCTATGATTGATTATGTCCAGTATTTGATCTGTAATTGAATATGATTAGTATTTGATCTATGATTTATTATTTTTAGTATTCGATCTATGATTGATTATGTCCAGTATTTGATCTGTGTTTTATTATGTTTAATATTTGATCTATGATTGATTATGTTTAGTATTTGATCTGTGATTGATTATGTTTAGTATTCGATCTATGATTGATTATGTTAAGTATTTGTTCTGTGATTTATTATGTTTAGTATTCGATCTATGATTGATTATGTTCAGTATTTGATCTGTGATTTATTATGTTTAGTATTTGATCTGTGATTTATTATGTTAAGCAAAATAATCTAGTACTATAGATGGTAACGTAGAATTTGAAAAACTCTCAGTGCAACTGTAAACTGACGTCACAGTTTTATGTGTCCGATCTGTGATTGATTATGTTTAGTATTCGATCTGTAATTGATTATGGTTAGTATTTGATCTGTAGTTGATTATGTTAAGTATTTGTTCTGTGATTTATTATGTTTAGTATTTGATCTATGAATGATTATGTTAAGTATTAGATCTGTGATTTATTATGTTTAGTATTTGATCTGTGATTTATTATGTTAAGCAAAATAATCTAGTACTATAGATGGCAACGTAGAATTTGAAAAACTCTCAGTGCAACTGTAAACTAACGTCACAGTTTTATGTGTCCGATCTGCGATTGATTATGTTTAGTATTTTATCTGTGATTGATTATGTTTAGTATTTGATCTGTGAGGTTCTAAACTTCTTGATATCTGTTGGGAATATTTATCTAACAGACTACTTTTTAGGCGGCAGATTTATCAGGTGGGTGCATTTTATAATCTTTTTTGTGAAGAAACAAAAAAAAAGTAAATTTTCATTCTGATTTATTATTTTTGTCAAAAAACAAACAAACAATCAAATAATAAATTTAAAAATAGGACAATTAATTATACACGAATAAAAATATTGACGTTTTTTACTACAATAAAGAGAAAATAGTTTTAAAATTTTCTTTCAGAAAGATATTTATGAATTTTTGCCATACTCTAAATCAATATTTTAATTAGTTATGACATCAGGCAAATAAGACAGGAATCATGGCAAGAGGTGTGGGGGGGGGGTTGATATAACTTAATGAAATCGTTGTAAAAAGCTTAAACTGCTAACTGATTAAATCTGTCATCCACAATTTTGGGTGTTAAATCTAAAAAATAATACTAAATCAAATAATAACAATTGTGTTTTACAGTTTTTTTGCCAATTTTAATCAACGGCTGATCTCCTTGTGACATGTTTATCGTTAGTTTTATAAACTTAAACTAAACTTCGTAAAGAAAACTTCCTCGGACAAACAACGCTACAAATTTTGAAACATTTGATACTTTACATATTAATTTAAAGATAACTTTTTAATAATTTCAAAATTTCAAACTCAATTTTTGAGAAATAGAACTGTTCATCAAACCAAAATTACTTAACGTCAGGGGTGTAAATAATAAATTTGTCCAGTTAGGGAGAGGGATCTTATTCCTGTCTAAAATTCCAGGGGGGGCTTTTTTAACGTCGTTTGAATGCATGTAAAATTGTACATTGCATGTATATGATTGTAAAATTGTCAAGTGCTTATAATGCAAAATTTAGTTTATTTTCCATCCGTGGAATTTAATTTTATGAAAATACGGACAGTTTCTGATTTATGGGGAATTTACTTGGGAGTAAATTAAGTTTGAAAACTACAGGGGGAGTCATAAAAAAATGCAATTAAGTAAAACTGTAATAAATGCAGTTTGAACATACCAATAAAAACTGCGTTGTACATTGTCTGAGGATCTAACTGCGTTAATCCTTGAATACGAAAAACTTGTAATGCGAGTAGACTATTGTGAATATGTATTGGAACTTAACATGTGATATATAGATTTGGTTAATAAGATCAGTTAGAATCAGAACTCCACTTTGATTACAGTGTAGAGTAATTGTACCCCCGATAAAATATTCGGGTTGAGATCATACCTCTTTATAAGGTAGAGATCGATTAAGGGCTTCATAGATGGCCAATGCTTGTGTCCCTGTGTGGTATTTAGAGCCGGAGTAATAGCTTGATTGATAGCTACGCTTGTGTCCCTGTGTGGTATTTAGAGCCGGAGTAAAAGCCTGATTAATAGCTACACTTGTGTCCCTGTGTGGCATTTATGAGCCGGAGTAAAAGCGTCTTTGATAGCTACGCTTGTGTTCCTGTGTGGTATTTAGAGCCGGAGCAATAGCTTCATTGATAGCTACGCTTGTGTCCCTGTGTGGCATTTAGAGCCTGAGTAATAGCTTGTTGGATAGCTACGCTTGTGTCCCTGTGTGACATTTAGAGCCTGATTAATAGCTTGTTGGCTAGCTACGCCTGCGCTTGTGTCCCTGTGTGGCATTTAGAGCCTAAAGTAATGTCTTGTTGAATAGCTACTGAGATCATGCCCATTGGTAGTGGCGTTGATAGTTCACGGGATTGTAATCTGGTGGATTCTGTTCTGGTTGACTTGTTAGTGGGCGGGTTGTGCCTGGGCTCATACAGTTTGGGACAAAGTTATAAGAGTACGGCATTTACTACAAAACAATCATTAGTCTCATAACAATCATAAAGCTGAGAATTTTTGTATTGTAAAGTGTTATGTGACATCTGATCCACATACTTTATTGTAGTTTGGACCATTTACATACTTTATTGTAGTTTGGACCATTATCATCGCAAAATTTAAAATTGTTACCAAACGTTTAGGTAGAGAAATGATACATATTAAAAAAATGTGAACAAACTGTTTTTAAGAAAAAACAAAGCAAGCTGAAAAAATATAAACATGTTGTTAATCAAGAAAAGGAATAATTAAGGGTTTACACTGCTATTGATTAATTGATACATTCATCTACTAATGAATTCACCATAAAAGGACTGGACACGAAAGTGCATGTCCTATTCACAACAGTACCTTTTATGCCTTGTATGATCATTGATCAATAATGAATAAGATATCCATGTTTTAAATTCAGAAATTGATTTTTTTCTTCAAGTGTGGTTTCTCTTTTAAAATGACAATGGAGGAAAAGTGAAAAAAATAACATTATTTGTGCTCGATATATAAATTTGAAATAAATAATTAATTTTTCCTTGTATTCAGATATGGTACTAGGGTTGTCCGATTTCTTTATTACGATCAGATTGCAAGATTGGACATGCCTAATCCATTCTGTACAGTCTTTCCAACCATAACAAGGTATATTTATGTTCCCTTTTTAAAGAAAACGGAAAAGTTTTTATTTGACATTTTTTATTCTAAACCTATACAGACAGCACTGTAATTAATGTATTAATCTTAGTGATTTAATCGTTAAAGGGTCAAAAAACAGAAATGGATTAATTTGTTTTCATGACTTTCGTCTTACTTTTTGTGGTAACAGAAGGACTTGTTTTATTACTTCTTTTTATTTCTGAATTATGTAAAAAAAATTCTTTCATTCATTTGTTATAAATGACAAAATTCTGAGCGATATGTTATAGTTAAAAGAAAGACTAAAGACGACAATCAAACCAATGCTTTCTGGCTGCCACTGTTTACATAACTATTGAATTTTAACATTTATTTAAGTTGTACATTTCACACTGTTGGAAGCGCAGCAGGAGAACAGAAATTTAATAGCTTATGTATTCTCTCACTAAACATTATCAACGAAAAAGTAAGTTATGTTTTTATATACATAAACATGGGAATTCAGTGACGAATTTGATATCGTCTTTTTAAATAATTCTTCGAATTAGTATAGTGATACCTACCGAGAAAGGTGTAATCTGGAAGAGTTTCGTCTGCTATGTTCACATTTTGTTTGTTTATGTTTTGACTGCATACGGTTGTACTTGGTAAAACAAGAAAATTGCAGTAAACAAACAGAGTAAACTTGTCCGTCTTCACTGTTCATCTTGCGGAGACATTAGACACAGCATTACAGTCTTTTACCCTTTTCATAAAATAAACTCTAGCAGACATAATAATATTATGGCTTTTGAAATTAGGTATTACAATGCTAATTAATAACAAAGACAATATCCAATTCGTCACTGAATTCCCATGTTTTCGGGACACCCTGTACAATTAGATCTTTATAAAAATAATTTAAAAAATTAATTTTTATTAAAAACAGGGAAGGGGGGTCAATTAAAGGAGATAAAAAATGAAAGTCAAGCTTAGATAAAAAACCCTCCAAACAATGTTTAAAGATTGAAAAATCCTATCATGAAAATCTTTACTTGATTTTACGACCGCTTGCATAATAATCACAGGCTTTTTTCCTGATTGGGAGTTTTATTATGTTGAACAAATTGTATTCTTTGTACATGCTTTTAGGGTTTTATTTTTTAGGGTCAAGTTTTTACAGACCTAGACAAAGTTCATCTTACAAACAAATTATCAATTAATCAAGTTTTAACGGAGGAATAGAAGGAAGGAATCTTTGAGATATTCCTCTCAATATATAGAATTTATCAGATATAGAGAAAATAAACACAAAATGTTTTTTTGATCATTTCATTTAAATTGAGAGAATTTTTTTAAAGATAATAATTAATAACTTAAAATCAAGAATTTAAAAGAAAAACATCTTAAAACATGAAAATTTGTTCACGGTTAATTAATTTGATTCCGTGAAAGTATATTTGCCTTAATTAAAGGTGTACTTGTTGCTTTGGTTCTGGATGTACTTTCTAACTGTAGTTTCTGGAGTACATCTATTCTATAGACTTCTTGTCGTCTTCGTACCTCCACTCAGGTACTATTTATTGGATTGGGGCATTTCATTTCCCATATAAAGACATTTTAAAGAATGGGCTAATGAAGGGAAACTTTATAGTTGGGCATTTCATTTTATTGATGGGCATGTCGTAGAATTCCATAGACAGGACATTTCATAGATGATAATGTTATTGATGGGCATGTCGTAAAATTCAATAGACAGGACATTTCATAGATGATCATTTTATTGATGGGCAGGTCGTAGAATTCAATAGACAGGAAATTTCATAGATAGGACATTTCATAAATGGGACTTTATAAAAAGACATTTCATAGATGGGACTATATTTAATAGATTCATTTTTAGATGGACATATCATAGATGGACATATCATAGATGGGCATTCATAGATGGGTATTTCAAAAAGGGCGTTAATACATATATGTACATTTCATAGAAGGGCATTTCATATATGTATACATTTCATAGATGGGCATTTCATAGATGGGCTTTCATAGATGAGCATTCATAGATGGGCATTCATAGATGGGCATTCATAGATGAGCATTCATAGATGAGCATTCATAGATGAGCATTCATAGATGAGCATTCATAGATGAGCATTCATAGATGGGCATTCATAGATGGGCATTCATAGAAGAGCATTCATAGATGGGCATTCATAGATGGGCATTCATAGATGGGCATTCATAGATGGGCATTCATAGATGGGCATTCATAGATGGGCATTCATAGATGGACATTCATAGATAGGCATTCATAGATGGACATTCATAGATGGGCATACACAGCTAGATGGACATTCATAGATGGGCATTCATAGATGAGCATTCATAGATGAGCATTAATAGATGTACATTCATAGATGGGCATTCATATATGGCATTCATAGATGGGCATTCATATATGGGCATTCATAGATGGGCATTCATAGATGGACATTCAAAGATTGGCATTCATAGATGGGCATTCATAGATGGGCATTCATAAATGGGCATTTATACATGGGCATTCATAGATGGGCATTTGAAAAAAGGGCATTGCTTATATGTACATTTAATAGATGGGCATTTCATGGGTAGGAAATTTTATTTTACTATAAAAAAATGTCCCAACACCCAATTTATCAAAAAGAAAATTTTCGTGTCCCAAAAGACGGATTGTGGGAATTGTGTACTTAACAAAATAAAGGTTTTGACATAAACTAAAATTTTCTAATCCACATATCATTGCAACCTGAACGTGTAAAACTTTTATACTTCAATCTTAGATTATTAGATCTAACAGAATTCATAGTTTGACATATTAAAGGTCGTCGACTTTGGGTTGTAAAGATATAGAGATTAGAAGATCAATATGTGTGGCAAAAACTCAATTTCTTGGTCTTTTCTGCAATTTTCTCTAAATTACAGCTGTCATCGTTAATAATTGATGGTATTATTTTTTTACATGTTTCCCTTTAATAATAAAATTATTTAGATATTTATTGATTTTGTGCCGAACCCGTGGGTTTTCAAGATTAGACTCAAACACGGCTAAGGTAATATTTTTAAACCGAAAAAAATTCCAAATAAGAGAAAACTTAAATAAGACAAAACAATTTAAAAATAAGTTTTATGCAATATTTTTATAGAATGTGCTGAGTCACTGTTATCTAGGAGATTGGTTTGTTCTCTATCAGGTTAAGGGTTTATTTAAATAATAAATTTGAAAACTCGCCAAATATTCTATTTTATCTAATATCTAATCTATCTCGGTAACCTGAAGTTGTAGACTTTGACATTTCAAACCATGAATTTTAAAAGATCAAATACTTAAAGACTTTCTGAGCCAAGGTCAAAAGAAAAAGAGATTCAAAACTTGAGTTTGTGCAATTGTTCAGTTCCTAATTGAATACTTATTGAAAATCACATAAAAACATTTGTTTTTAGTTGAGTAAGAATTCAAACACTTATTTCTTCCGTTACCTACTCAGACATCTAGACAAGGCTTTCACAAACCAGGTAATTTATTGTCAGAAATTCGGAGCGCATCGTGCCACTCGTTTTACACTGCTTTATGCCGAGTCCATTAGCGCCTGATCCAATCAGGGTTCAGTCATGTGTTTGTTGTCTATTCTGAACCAATAGTTTGGCGGTAACATCTATCTTTCTATCTATCTCGTTATACGATAAGAGTTAAGAATCCTTCAATCAGCGCTAACAGTAAATGGAAATATTTACTTCTACTGAAACTATAGTGTTCAGTTCCGATCTGGAGCCCTTTTCCTGCACACATTTAGAATTCAAATATATGAAATTCCAATCCAAATATGGACTTCTTTTTTTCTCTTAGTATTAAAGGGACCTTCTATTCAAAGAGTTAACGTCCGATTTAAAGAGCTACCATGAAAAACCTTAAAAAATGTTGGAGTAATCTATGTTTTTCTATACAATGAAACCCTTAATAACGAATACATCGAAAGAATTCATCAAATGTCGTATTCTTCACTTGCTGATAATTGAATGTTGCAGATAATTAGTATTTTAATGAAATGATTATATGGAACTCTTTAAAACTGTTCCCACATATTCATGTCTATTTATTTATTTTCCCAAATACTGAACTTTACGTAATATAGTATAAAACTCATTAAAAAATTGTCAAGACGACATTTGATAAATTCTTCCGATGAATTCGTTATTAAGGGTTTCACAGTATAAAAATTAATAATTAGTGAATCACAAAAGATTTTAATTTTCTTCTTCATTATTTATGAACTGACTATTAAAGGGTATTATACTGCTGTGAATCCGGCATGTAAGCTGAAAATGCAGAGTCACTTGAAATTACGCCTACAGTCCCTTTAACCCTCCTCCTTGAGTTAGATTAGTATACAGTCCCTTTAACCCTCCTCCTTGAGTTAGATTAGTATTCTAGAAATATCTTCAAGTTTTATCCTTCTTGTATAACACCATCCTCAACAGAACGCTTTTAGCGATCAAACTTTCCACAGTACAGAGCTTTCATATTTACAAAACTAAAGAAAACAAATACTAAACAAATCCAATAAAAAACATAACACATAACGTCAAACAAAAGTAAATTTCACGAAATCTTATTTTTTCTGATTTTTGAAAAAAAGAATGTTTTTAGTTTCTGATATTGAAGTTGGAACCGAATACGTTTTCTTTTATCATACTTCAACGTATAAAATCAAAACTAGAGGAGCTACGAGATCACAAAGTCGTTTGTTCTGGTTTGCAGTGATTCTTTATCAGATCTCCTTCTATCTAATTCAGTGACATTCATAGAGAGGGATGTCAAATAACATTATAGCACAATGGTTACTTTATAGCACTACTTTAATGAAATTGAGCGTGATCTGAACATGAATGATAAAGTGCAAAATAGATTAATAAAATGATAATATTTAGGCTAAGAATAAAATTGGAAGATTACGAGCAGATATTAGACAAGAGGAATCTTTAAGAAGGTACAGTGGTTCACAAAATATTCTGAAAATCAAAGACGACTTGTACGTATTAGAGAAAATATCATGAAATTGCAGATAAATCATGAATAACTGCGTATTTTACACCGAGACTCAAATACAAAAGTCTATTTCTTTTCTTTTTTGACGATCAAGCTTATAAATACTTGTTTCAAGACCTCTTTCTGTCTGAATTAAATATTTCGCCACCGCAACAGCAAAATTTTAAGAATGATGAGAAAAAGATCTCGGTTTTATTATTATTATTACTATCCAATTATTATTATTATTATTTTTATTATTATTATTATTTTATTAGATCTGTCACAAACGGCGGAAGTGAGGATGGTCGAAGGCGGAAGTATCTTGAAGAGGCGGAAACCCTTCCGCCTCTTTAGTTAAATATTTGTTAATGATATAGTTTATGTTTATCAAAGAAATAAAAGAAATCAATTACATTTTAGCAAGTTTTTACTTTATCCAAATTGATTTGTGTTTTTTTTTCTTATATCCGTTCCCGGGGTTTAACAGTTTTTAACAAGTTATTGTGACTTTTATATGAGACTCCTGATAAATTTTGGTCAGATTTATCCAAATGTTAAAATTGTTTGTCCTAAAAGTTGTTCTTAACGTTGCAAACTCTGAAAAAAATCGATCTGGACGATTTTTCAAATTGTTCTTTAACGAAAAATTTATTCAGATCTTTATTTTTACAACTTTTTTGCATTATGTAATAGAAAAAATTATTAAAACTAGGAATGCGCTTTCTATGTATATACTTGCTTGTCTTTAATGAGACTAAAAGCGTAATCTTAAGTCTGCCTCCAAGCAAAGATGGCAATACTCGATTCACAATAGTAACCTTAATAGCTTCGTCTGATTAATGTTTATATGTAATGTTGTCCCTTTAAAGTACGTGTAATGTCGTCCCTTTCAAGTACGTGTAATGTTGTCTCTTTAAAGTATGTGTAATGTTGTCCCTTTAAAATACGTGTGATGTTGTCCCTTTACAGTACGTGTAATGTTGTCCCTTTAAAGGACGTGTAATGTTGTCCCTTTACAGTACGTGTAATGTTGTCCCTTTAAAGGACGTGTAATGTTGTGCCTTTAAAGGACGTGTAATGTTCAGTGGAACCAGAGATAAGAGAGTTACAGAGATCGATTATAAGTTAAAATATGCGATATTTTCCACAGCATGTTCTATTGTGTACAAGTACTGTACACGACCAATCAGCAAGCATCTGTATTCATGGATATTTAAGGATCCTTTGGATACGAAACACAAAATTTTTAAAAAAAGACTGAATTCATAAATGTTCTGTTCGTTTAAAATTGGAGTATTTCTTTAAAAGTTGTAAAACTTAATCCTTGAATGGGTATTATGTTCAACAAGTGGCCGTGAGAAGGCCATCTCACTCTAAAAACCTATCGTAAAAACGTAGCATGTCGTGCCGGGTCAACTTAGGCCTATGTAGCTTACCCATGTGAAAGGAAATAAGCAGTCTGTATATTATTTTATTTTTAAATATACGCAACTACAGCCCACAGTGAATATCGTCTTAAATATTAGAAACATAAAAACTGAAACACTTTCGCTTTAACATGGTTAGATTCCTCAATTGGCGATAACTTTGGATGGGAAACATAACTCATTTGAGTAATTTTGTACCATGATTATATTGACACCGAGAAACGTTAGCCTACAACTAGAAAGCGCATCCAACTTTAAATATAATATTACCCATGGTCAAATTTAACCATGGTCTTCTTCGTTCCTGTAACTATGGTTAGAATCCGATTAAACCATGTTTAAAAATGTATGTCGTCTTCTTTCTTGTAACTATGGTTAGAATCCGATTTAACCATGGTTAAAATGTCTTAAGTTTCAGTTTCAGGCATAAGCATTTATCTACAGTGAAACCCTTAATAACGAATACATCGAAAGAATTCATCAAATGTCGTATTCTTCACTTTCTGATAATGGAATGATGCAGATATTTAGTTTTTTAATTAAATGATTATATGGAACTCTTTAAAACTGTTCCCGCATATTCATGGCTATTTATTTATTTTCGCAAATACTGAAATTTACGTAATATACCGTGAAACCCTTAATAACGAATACATTGGAAGAATTTATCAAATGTCGTCTTGACAATTTTTCAATGAATTTTATACTATATTACGTAAATTTCAGTATTTACGAAAATAAATAAATATCCATGAATATGCAGGAACAGTTTTAAGGAGTTCCATATAATCATTTAATTAATAAACTAAATATCTGCAACATTCCATTTTCAGAAAGTGAAGAATACGACATTTGATGAATTCTTTCGATGTATTCGTTATTAAGGGTTTTACTGTACACATTCGGAAATCTAGGATTTTCGAGGCAATTTATCAGCAAGTTTTTTAACGGAATCTAAACAGATAGCAAAATATACCCCTATATAATCACCTCCATCGGTAAAATTATCTAAATTATCATTGATTTATATATACTTCGCTTATTTTCTTCTGCAAATGAGCAAATTGAAAAAGAAACATGCGTGGAATATGATTTACACAAAAAAATGTCAGTTTGAAGAGCAGAACCAGGGATTCCCTAGAGCTAACTGAAAAGTAGTCCCACTTTAAAACTAGTGATAAAAAAACTAAAAATAAAGACAACATAAAAAAAGAAAATCAAAACTTATTTATATTTTCAAATTAGTGTTTCAAATTATTGTTTGTGAAATGTTTTAAAAGTACAGGGTGTCCCACGAAACATAACAGTTGGTGAATAGTTTAGAATGTCTTTTTCCATAATTTGTTAAGTTGTTTAATACCAAAGATCAATAAAAATATTATATGGGAGTCATTTTATATTAAACTTGATTTCAAGAAAAAGATAATGAAGCAAAAGATTTTTTTGACTAAAAATAACGATTTATTAAATTGTCATGTTTCGTGGGACACCCTGTACAAAGAGAAAACGCATTAAATGTCGTCTTAGTCAATATGAATGAGAAAAAATCTCCGATGGAAAATATTTATATTGTAACGGATGCATTAACCATAGACGGACGCATATTGTGTGATCTCTAATCAAACATATGATAACATTTCTCTGCTTAGTCAAGTCGTATCATTTTTCTTCTGCAGTGCCTTAGTTGGGTCTGTTACAAGCACCAGGGTAGGCAATAGCAACATTCTTGCATCTAGCTTGACAGCTGTTGCTATACGTTACACCGTCTACTCCGCACTCAGGTTTGTAAACAAATGTGCATATACACTGCTCTTCCTTATCCTGAGGTGTGCATGGGCATTCTCCAGAGCACTGTACAGCAACGTTCTTACATCCGGCGTCACAGGCATTGCTGTACTGTACACCATCCTCTCCGCATACAGGGTCAAAGTTTTCAGCACATATGCATATTTCTGGGGTTTCCTCAGATGCACACGGACATTCTCCAGTACATTGTACAGTTTTCTCCTTACATCCGGCATTACAGGCATTGCTGTACGTTACACCATCTTCTGCACAGACAGGTCTATAGTCTTCAGGACAAATACACTCTAAATAAATTAGTTTTATAGATTGGTAAAATCTATGGTTCGGTTTTCTCACAGTGCGTATAGGACTGGGGATGTAAATAATTTTTTTCCAAAACTAATGTAAACATAGTCAACATAGTATCAAGTAATTTTTTTTATGTAATGCTTTTTTTTCGAAGTTTCTTTAATTTCTATAAACTTGCGTTTGTTAACAAAACTTTGTCCAGTACAATCTTATTAAAGTTGTTGGTCTTAAATTAAAAAAGTTTCAATTAAGATCATGTTGTCTTTAAGTTCATTTACAACATCCTTTTTTATCTAAATATGTTAATAAAAAAAACCGATTGTTTATTTCAAACAAGATATTGCTAATTTTCTCATCAATAGAAACCCTGAAACTACACTTTTAGAAGAAACAAAATATACATTAAAATAAAGAAAAAAAATAGCAATTTTAAAATTATTAAGAAAATATTGTAGTTTTGAAATTATGAAGAAAATATTTTAGTTTTGAAATATGGAGAAAACATTGTTATTTTGAAATAATGAAGAAAATATTGTAGTTTTAGAATTATGAAGAAAATATTGTAGTTTTGAAATTATGAAGAAAATATTGTAGTTTTGAAATTATGAAGAAAATATTGTAGTTTTGAAATTATGAAGAAAATATTGTAGTTTTGAAATTATGAAGAAAATATTGTAGTTTTGAAATTATGAAGAAAATATTGTAGTTTTGAAATTATGAAGAAAATATTGTAGTTTTGAAATTATGAAGAAAATATTGTAGTTTTGAAATTATGAAGAAAATATTGTAGTTTTGAAATGAACTGTACTGAGAAAAGTCTTATTGCACAGCAGTACTATTGCAATGTGAGCTGTGATAATAAGTTAAGAACTAAGTTTTATCAGTTTAATTCTTACCTGCTGATTGCGGTAAACTGGTGCAGTATTGTACAATATTCTCACCTGCTGATTGCGGTAAACTGGTGCAGTATTGTACAATATTCTCACCTGCTGATTGCGGTAAACTGGTGCAGTATTGTACAATATTCTCACCTGCTGATTGCGGTAAACTGGTGCAGTATTGTACAATATTCTCACCTGCTGATTGCGGTAAACTGGTGCAGTATTGTACAATATTCTCACCTGCTGATTGCGGTAAACTGGTGCAGTATTGTACAATATTCTCACCTGCTGATTGCGGTAAACTGGTGCAGTATTGTACAATATTCTCACCTGCTGATTGCGGTAAACTGGTGCAGTATTGTACAATATTCTCACCTGCTGATTGCGGTAAACTGGTGCAGTATTGTACAATATTCTCACCTGCTGATTGCGGTAAACTGGTGCAGTATTGTACAATATTCTCACCTGCTGATTGCGGTAAACTGGTGCAGTATTGTACAATATTCTCACCTGCTGATTGCGGTAAACTGGTGCAGTATTGTACAATATTCTCACCTGCTGATTGCGGTAACTGGTGCAGTATTGTACAATATTCTCACCTACTGATTGCAGTAAACTGGTGCAGTCTGTACAATATTCTCACCTGCTGATTGCGGTAAACTAGTGCAGTATTGTATAATATTCTCACCTACTGATTGCAGTAAACTGGTGCAGTATTGTACAATATTCTCATCTGCATGATTGCGGTAAACTGCTGCAGTATTGTACAATATTCTCACCTGCTGATTGCGGTAAACTGGTGCAGTACTGTACAATATTCTCACCTACTGATTGTGGTAAACTAGTGCAGTACTGTACAATATTCTCACCTGCTGATTGCGGTAAACTGGTGCAGTACTGTACAACACAGAAAACAAGGACGACAAAAACTTTCCCTGTCATCATAATCTTAAAAAAAGAAAAAAAAAATTTGTTCAAAATAATTTGGCGCTAACTTCATTTAGATTTTAAAGAAAATTTCAACGCAAAAACTGCAAAATGTTATTTTACAAGATAATAATTGATGTAAGGCCATGTCCAAGTTCACGGATACACTAACCTTTTAACTAAATTCTTTAAATTACTTGTTTTGACTTGTTACTATAGAGACCATGTGAATGAAAGCATTTATTTCTTTTTCTATAGAAAAAAACAACATTATTGAATATATAATAAAATTACACATTAATGTCACACTGAAAACATGATTAACGATGAAAGGGACTTTTGTCTATATTTAAACTAAAGCTAGAGGGCATGTTAGACAAATAAATGTATAACTTTATCTGTGATCAATAATGTAAAAGTTTTTATAGCTCGCCGCCATAGTTTTGGAAGCGGAAATGCGCAAGTCATTGTAAAAAGAAACCACAATTGAAATTATTATTTTTTGGAAGAGGATGTGATAAATATCCCTTACATTCTTGATGAGACATTTTAGAGATGTTGTTGTAAGAACGACCTTGCCACTCTATAAATGGAAAGTGACTTGAAATTAAATATTGTCCCTTTTATATAATTTAATGTATACTGGTGAGTTCCATGTATCTTTAATACTAACTCAACTTCAACTTTACAAAGATATTATCAAGAATCTTGAACTGAAATAAACCAGTAAGAAACAATAATTGTATCACACAAGATGGAGGATAACAATCATAACTGATTTTCATATTTTACCGAATTACTGAACTGTAATCTTTAACACTTCGTCTGATCAGTCTGTTTAGCCAAAAATTTATTATTTTCAATTTTGGTCTCCCTAAACACGCAGCTTGTGGATCTATGGTGGAAATTTGTTTTAATTCATTAATACAACCATCTCGTTTTAATATATCATTGATACCCCAGCTAGAAAAATACCAAGAACGGAGGACAAAAGGTACACCGTTTATCATGTGGCGGAGTTTGAAAAACGGGACTCAAATTCTCCAAAAGAAAAGGTTCTGCGGTATTCTAAAGTGATGCAATTGAGGTGCACCGTTCGGTGCAACGAACAGAGTAATTTGCGGTGCACCTTCTTTAGAGTGATTGAAGTGCACCTCTTTCAGAGTAAAGTAAAGTAAATGTATTTATTTGAAATGTATTTACCAAGTTTGAACATATGCATATGTGATCTATATTTGATACCTCTATCTTTATATTATAACTTTGAGCATGGGACTATTACACATATTAAAGTATTGTTTGTGAATTACGCATGATCAAACACAAATATCTAATTCTTGGAAATATAATTTTGTTTAAAACAATAACAGAGTTATTTTCTGTATATAATTTAATTTTACTTTCAACTCCGGAGACCTCTTGTGGTAATTTTTGGAACTGCCTAACAGGAATTCCAACGGAGCTCCTTTTTGGAGAACTCTCCTCAAAAAAGGAAGTCGGAGGATTATCCACAAGAGGAGGAAATGAGGAAGATAATCCATTTTCGGTGGATAAAATAAGTCCTCCTCTTATGCAGTACAAGTGGAAAGCAGAGTAGTTATTCTTGCTGGGACAACCCATCCTTATTATAATATCATTGATACAACCCATCCTTGTTATGATTTCATTGATAAACCCATCCTTGTTATAATAACATTGATACAACCCATCCTTGTTATAATATCATTGATATACAACCCTTCCTTGTTTTAATATCATTGGTACCATGCGCCTCTGATTGGTACAACCCATCCTTGTTTTAATATAATTGATCCATCCAAATTCCTGATTTAAAATCATTGATACAACCCATTCCTGTTTTAATATTATTGTTATCCATGAAATTATGTTGCTCTACATGTTGGAAAATAAAAGCAATCTGGTTTATTCTGGTTGCAAGAATACTTCTCATAAAAGGAAAGTTTTTAAATTGTGATTATAGAGTTGTTAATCGTTTTGGAAAACGATCGTTTAACAATCGTTTTTTTGTTTTATTTTTCAATCGTTTTCAGAAACGACTGTTTCGTTTTTGGAAAAACGATAGTCTTTGAAAACGACTCACTTGTTAGGAACTTTTAGAAAACGAATAATGATCATTTTTGAAAATGCGTTAGGAACTTTTAGAAAACGAATAATGATCATTTTTGAAAATGACTGTTTTTAGATAAGCGATCATTTTTTATACGATTGTTTTTTCAAAAACATTCATGAACGAGGGTTTTTGAAAAAAAACATAAAATATAAATATGAGTTTTGATTTTTTTTGAAGAACATTATGAATGTCGTCTTATAATATTCAATTTTTTAAATTTCCTCTTACATACAATGTTTGAAAGGCAGTAAATTTGAATTGTAGAGGATAAATCCCTAACAATATGTGAAGGAGCTAAACCTTCTAGATATTTTCTTTACAACAACTCAATAATAAGTACCGATGCCCAGGTCGGTTTACTCACCTTGAAGGTCGTCGTTAACGACCGTTAACGAATTTTGTTGTTAACGATTGTTAGCGAAACAACGAACTTAATAAAAACTATCGTTTTTAAAACAACTTTGTTTAAACTGTTTATGAAAACGATCTTTTCGAAAACGATAGTTTCGTTTTTAGTTTTTTTCTTCATTTTCATAACGAAATGTTCGTTTCAAAAATAAAATGAAAACGAGCCATCCTTAATTGTGAAATGGGTCTGTGTACAATGCTGTGTTTCATGTTTATTGGACTATTCAATCAACGGTCGTCTTACATTCCCACATTTTTATTAGTCCACACTTTAACTTTTTATTTTTATTTATGCACAAAATTAACACGACACCCATACTCTGTTCTTAATTTAAAACGCATAAAAGTATTTGTATTCAAAGATTAGCGCAACAGTTGAAGTACAAGATTATAAGAGTGAAGTAAATGAGTGGGGAGGATAGGTATTAGGTATTGATGCATTGTAAATAAGGTTTCCAGCGAAAGAAAACTTTCACGAAAATGTTCTTTCGTATTTCGCAAACTTTCGTATTTTTTTTGAAAATTTTATTTTGCGAAAGGAAGCAAAAACGATGCGAAATTTCGTAAAAAACGATTTCTGTATTTCGCTGGAATTTTGAAACCATAATTGTAAAGTAAGAAATCAGACTAGCATGACCAAAAACAATCTATCAAGGTTTAGAGAAGAAGAAGAATCCTCACATGTTGACTGCAGTGACCAACCTGCCAACAATTCCTATATTAATGAACACATCTGCGGAGTTATGGTAAAAAGGTGTAAAGGGGGTCAGGGGGGGGTATTGTAGAGAGGGGGGAGGGTGGTTTTGAGTGGTAGCTTCATGATAAGTGGGGGATGGTTTAGGTGGTGTAATAATTTTAATTTCAAAATAAATTTTATTTGCGATGAATATATTTTCCTTTAACCTGTATTATAGAATAAGCAGCAAGAAGTATATATGGTCAACCATTTGCTAGTAATGGCCATCGTTTATAAATATATAAGTAGTGAAAAATGCACCAACAATTATTTTTTAAATGTTAGCAATAGATATATGTAACTTTCCTTTTCCTTTTTCAGAATTGAGATACAAAATTCACACAATTAACCCTTTTTTTGAAATTTTTGAATATTTCATCCTTAAAAACTTTATATGGTATTTTTTATTATTATTAAAATTAATATTTACTTGCTTACGTACAATTTTGCTAATTTTGTACCTTGATAAGACTTAATGATGATTGAGTTTTTCTAAAAATATGTGTACATTCTACAAAATCTGCGTAAGTTCTTCAAAATCTGCAGATAAGTACTGCAAAATCTGCGTAAGTACTGCAAAATCTGCGTAAGCACTGCAACATCTGCGTAAGTATTGCAAAATCTACGGAAGTACTGCAAAATCTGCGTGAGTACTGCAAAATCTGCGTAAGTACTGCAAAAAAGGCTTTTAGATTTTATTTATACTTTTTTCTGATCTTTGTTTTTCGAACTTGAAAAGTGATAATTTCCTCCATTGTTTCTGCAGAAGAAATGCGTATATCACTATTGAAGAAACAGCAATTGAAAAAATCTACTTCTATAAGTATACTTTGCTTGTCTGTTTGTTTAATCGTCTGTCCGATTGTGTACAATAAACGTCAAAACGGCTGTACTGATCGGGCCCAAATTTTGTGTGGTACATCACGTGACCTCTTACAACATTTCTAATTTCTTTATTCCATAATTTAAAAAAACAGCTACGAAGGATTTTAAACATCGTTCTTGAATATTTATTCTGCCTCATTGTGCAGTAAAAGCAAATTTAGAGAATAATATTTTCGAAAATAAACTTCATTTCTCAAGTTAGTATTATGTCTCCTGAAAGCCAACAATCTCTGAATGTTTTAAAAACGAAAAAAAACGTTGCCCAACTCTAGCAATACGTAACAGCTGCTGTTATTGTCAGGATATATGTTTTCAACTTAAACCATTATATTTTCAAACATTCACTTTGTCAGGTCAGAAAATGTTTTATTGAAAGCGTATTGCAAAAGACAAACCACCCTCTACCCCCCCCCCCCTACCCAAACAGGATTTTTTCCCCTTTTTGCAAATGGTCGATAAATTCGCGCACCAGAAGAGGTTTTATGACAAATTTTTAACTAATTAAAAAAATTTCAAGCTAAAAGTAGAAAAAAAGAAAGTTCCATTTTTAAAATTTTTCAAAACATTTAATACTTTTTCATTTTTATGAAATTATCATTACAAGCCTGCAGTTTTGCGCGGAATTTCGCAAAAGAATGCAAAATTTTGCGAAATTTTTGCAGTTAAATCGTGAAAGGTTTCATTCGCTTGAAACCCTGCACATGACTCAAGGTTCAATTTGTACTTAAATATTTGTCTTTGACTAGCAATAATATGAATAAATAGAAATTAAATCAAATTTTGCCAAATTTATTTCAACCATAATAATTCAATTTAGAGATACTAAATAATAACTCAAAGTTTGCAGTAAAGGTAGAGAGCTAGATTTTTGTTCATATTCTCCATCATAGAGTTGTCTTCAGGTTCTTTCATCAGCTCCTTCCAGTTATCCCAGGTCTTCTCATCAACAATATTTGAACTGTAAAGATCTAGCTTCTGTTCCTGATTTATCTTTCCCCCGCTCCTTCCAACATCTAGAATTTGATACGCATATCAGAACCCAGAACCCAGAAGATAAGGTTTCGTTTTGTTTTTCGTTTTGTTTTTGATTTTGATTTTTAAAACAGACAATACCATCATTTAAAAAAACCTATGGGTTATAAAGCGAAAGGTTTGTTGAAAAACGAAACGACAATATGTTTGTTGAAAAACAAAACGACAATATGTTTGTTGAAAAACGAAACCAACAACGATCGGTTCGTTTTTCAAAAAAGTAAAAACGATCCATTAATATTCTTACCTGCAGCCTCTAGCTGTTGGGGAGAAATAACACCAGCATATTCTCCCAAATACACCCATCCAGCATAATATACAATTCCTCCATAGTGTGCTGCAGGCTCTTTGCTGCTTTCCTTCTTGTTATATTTAGCTGCTATTTCATTCGGGATTCTAATCTCCTTAGCTATAAACTCAAGATGGGCTTTAATGTCATCTAGATAGGTGGAAAGAAAACAGCTGCAAATATCAGGGTTTGGAGGAAAAGCCAACAATTCTTGGTAATACAAAGCGGCTCCTTCCCAAATATGGATCATATGAAGATCATGAGCTAAACGATCCAATGTGTTGGCATTCATGATCCCATACTCTTCATGATCCATGTTACTGAGAATATTATCCAGGGCAAAAAATGCGGGGTTGTAGAAACTAAAACATTAAAGAATGATTAATTTGTAAATTTTCGCTGATCTTTGAAAGAAAGTCATCTTAACCCTTTAAAGGCTGGAGGGTCTGAATCTATGTGTATGTAGAAAACGGTCTTAGAGTAAAGGTATAGTGTTGTAGTACATGTCGGTCAAATGTTAAGTATATAACTGTTTTTGTTTGACAAACGGTAAAACATGTGAGTGGGCTTCCAATCGAAATTCCGTGGCGCGAAATTGCACGCAACTGGGCTGAATTGCGCGCAACTGTTCTTGTATTGCATGGAAAAGTGCGGAATTGTGTGGAATTGCGAGGAATTGGGCAGAATTAGGAGGAAATTACAGGTCCACAATTGCGCATAAGTAATTAATCCACTTGCTTTAGAAACCCAACACATGTGACACCTGTTTTTGCATCTATTTTTAAAAGGCTTTTCAAAAATATTGATTTTTGATATGATTAAATTACAAAAACTTTCAAGGTGAGAAAAAGGTAAGAATGTATACCTGTTCTTCAATGTGATGTACTGTTTAGGGTTAAGAATGTATACCTGTTCTTCAATGTGATGTATTGTTTGGGGTTAAGAATATACCTGTTCTTCAGTGTGATGTATTGTTTAAGGTTAAGAATATATACCTGTTCTTTAATGTGATGTACTGTTTAGAGTTAAGAATATATACCTGTTCTTCAATGTGATGTACTGTTTAAGGTTAAGAATATATACCTGTTCTTCAATGTGATGTTCTGTTTAGGGTTAAGAATGTATACCTGTTCTTCAATGTGATGTTCTGTTTAGAGTTAAGAATATATACCTGTTCTTCAATGTGATGTATTGTTTAAGGTTAAGAATGTATACCTGTTCTTCAGTGTGATGTATTGTTTAAGGTTAAGAATATATACCTGTTCTTTAATGTGATGTACTGTTTAGAGTTAAGAATATATACCTGTTCTTCAATGTGATGTACTGTTTAGGATTAAGAATATATACCTGTTCTTCAATGTGATGTTCTGTTTAGGGTTAAGAATGTATACCTGTTCTTCAATGTGATGTACTGTTTAGGGTTAAGAATGTATACCTGTTCTTCAATGTGATGTATTGTTTAGGGTTAAGAATGTATACCTGTTCTTCAATGTGATGTATTGTTTAAGGTTAAGAATATATACCTGTTCTTCAATGTGATGTACTGTTTAGAGTTAAGAATATATACCTGTTCTTCAATGTGATGTACTGTTTAGGGTTAAGAATATATACCTGTTCTTCAATGTTCTGTTCTGTTTAGGGTTAAGAATGTATTCCTGTTCTTCAATGTGATGTATTGTTTAGGGTTAAGAATATATACCTGTTCTTCAATGTGATGTTCTGTTTAGGGTTAAGAATGTATACCTGTTCTTCAATGTGATGTATTGTTTAAGGTTAAGAATGTATACCTGTTCTTCAATGTGATGTACTGTTTAATATTGTTTAGGGTTAAGAATGTATACCTGTTCTTCAATGTGATGTACTGTTTAGGGTTAAGAATGAATACCTGTTCTCCAATGTGATGTACTGTGCATTCTCATTCAAATCATTCTTCTCACTAAAAACAGACAAAAGATAAAATTTAAGAAATTTCAGAGAAATCCTTATGTTTCAATATTTTTTATGATCACATAATTCAAATTGTGCCATGTAGATTTTTTATGATCACATAATTCAAATTGTGCCATGTAGATGTTGCGTACTTTCCGATGCGGCAACTTTCCAAGTTTGTCCTAGCCACAGCACTTGGGCCCCCCAAATACAAAAGTGCAAAAGGTGGCAACAGAGAAATGGACCAATTTTACATGACGTCGAAAGCAAGGAAGGAAAACAAAATTGACATACATTAGTTGACATGTTTTACAGCTGTACTGAGAATGTACAAATTCCACGTTGCCATCTATTGTACTAAATATCTATTTGGGCCCCCAAAGCCTATTCTATTTGCAGGAATCAGTCCAAATTAGCCGCAGTGCTCAGCCCCCACTGCAGCCTACGGAGCATCAGAAGCCTTAACCTAACCTTAAATGAGCATTCGGATGGTTGCTGCTTGGGAAATTGCACATTTAGGAAGTTGCCGCTTGTGGGTTGCAAATTTGGTAAGTTTCACTTTGCGATTAAGTACCATATTTTAGACTCAGCAGATCTTATCGTGTAGGTTTCATTAAACCTACAAGAATGAATTGCTCGGTATCCATCCTCACCTTCTGTTTAGGTTTACTGTTGGAATACCATTGTCCTTTGTTGCGTCTGGATTGAAGAAGTATTGAATCATGTTTAAGGTTAGAGAATGGCTTCCATGCGCTGCTTGAGCTCCAGTATTCTTTAAACCAAGTGGTTCAAGAACCTTTTAAAAATAGAGTAAAGAGAATTTCTAATTTAGTCACGTTGAGTACACTCCAGATTTACGGTTTTTTTATACACAACATTTTAGAGAAGTATGCTATGTGTTCTCTGTTCTAAATGATCAGCTAGTCAGCAATGGTTTAAATGGTACTGTTGAGAATTGAGGAAACCCCTTAATTGAAATTACGCTTACAGTCCCTTATTCACCTGGGAGCAGTTGTTAGCATAAGCACTCATAACAAAGAGAAGTAAGAGTGGAAGATATACCATTATGCCAGATGTCTGTTACTTTTACTGAAAAAAAGCAGTGCGTGGGAACATTAAGTAAAATAATTACCCAATCACACATTTTTATCTCAAAAGATGATTAGAATACTTTTTCTATAAATTAAGTTTGTTTGACGTTCCCTCGCTCAATCACCATGCTCTAGATGGTTTATAGGCAAAATTGGTCTTGTAAGAAATTGTAATTAATTAGCATTTTCGCAAAAAGAATTTAGATAAAATACACACGACATTTTACATTTTTTAATAATGTTGTTACAAGTATTACCTTCGATGAACTCTGATAATCTGAGTTTTGCAAAATATCGAGCATTTTTATATAAGAAAAAATATGTATTTTTTCCATTTTGATTGTCATTTAGTCCTTTTTCAAGATGTCAATTTTACATTAATTGTTGTTGTAAATCAATCTTGGAACACAACTGTTATTTTTTTGGAAATATAACTTAAATTTTTTTAACCAACGAGGTTATAATGTTTAGAGTGATAGTGAAAGCTAATCCTGTATTAGTATATAGACAAAGAACTACATGAAAACTATGTATGGACTTCTCAGTTACACAAATTATATCTGTAGTGTCTAAGTACTGAACATTTCTAAGGAATTTTTAAAATCTGTTTTTCCAAAATCTCAAAATTCTCAAAAGTAAGTCAGCATAGTGTGGAGAGTTAATTTGGGGAAATTCCTCCCTTTGTTACCAAAGAAGCGAGGTTTATTGCGCGTAAATTAAAAACCTTAACAAAGTATTTCCAGAGATAATCCGCAATCTCATGCCCATTTAGTAATTGCATGTTTAAGAGGACGGTTGTTTATAGCTTAACAAGTGTTTAATTCTGATAATTTTCTCCCATAGTTTCATTATTCGTCCTTGATCAGACTTTTTAGGGTACCGTTGTGAATTGAACATGCTATTATATTAATGGAAAGTAACTTGAGAACTAGGACTGTGTGAATAAAGTTAGTTTAGTATACTTTTTACTTATGTAACCTTGATAAAAAAGTTCTTTGTTTGGAATACAGACAAAACCCAAAGGAAATGTCTATTATCAAAATTTAAATTAATCTTTAACCTTGACATTCGTATATATGTTCCCTGGCCTATTATAGCTGGCCATACGGCTGGACCGAATGGGCTGAATTCTTTTGTAGACACTTATGG